CAGAGCCAGAGTGTGCTGGAGGACACTTGTGAGTGAGTCGACTGAACTAGAGAGTGGAGAGAACAAAAGCGACGACATAGTGGCAGGGCAGAGAGATACGGGAGATGGGGGTCAGAGGCAAGGAGTGAAATGCGACGTGCGTCATAAATGTTTTAAGTACAAAATTTCATGTGATACTCGAGCATTACATAAGTTGAGTCGTATTTACTGATAGTTCCTTTATGAAAAATAATCATTATAATGATAATTAAGATATTTATTAAGCTTGTAATCTTACAAAAAGAACTCCTACTTATTATAAACATTTATAAAACTTTCATACAGATTATAAGTATAGAAAATGTCTTATTATTATATTATATAATAGATATAAGTCTTTCTCTTCAAATATAATACTATTATAATACTTTTACTCTTTATATAAGACTATTAAAATATATTTACCATATTATATTAATGAATAATACTGATAGAGCCTTTATAAGAACATATAAGACTGATTTTTACCTTATAATAGAGTTAAATACAGATAATTACTATATATTCTATATATTAAACATATTGCACTTTATAATAACTATAAGATTATATATAGATTTTGACTTTTTCCTGACGTTGTAGAATAGACTTTATCAGATTCAACCCAGAATGTCTTCTGGTTACACAGTGCTACAGTATCTGGTAGTAAGAGTACTATCAGTATGACTATTACAGAACATTTCTGTAGCATATTCTGTCTTGGAGCACATCTGTTTTTTGAGTGCAGAAAGAGTGACACTAGCAGTACTGTTCAAACTCTTGCACATAAGCTTGCCATGTTTGACTCAACTGTAGAGGAAAATGTTATTACAGCCATTAAGTAGGACAATGATATTGCTCAGGCTACTGTAACAACCCAGTTTGAGAACCTTATCTGTAACCCTCTTGATTCGTCCAGAGACACTATACAGGGACTGGTTGTCATTGTCTTGATACACTAGATGAATGTGGAACTGAGAGATCAAGGCATGGCTTGATACAGACATTTTGAAAGGGGCTACCATTGCTCCTGAGGAACTTCTGATTTCTCATTACAAGTAAGAGAGAATCAGACATTGACCAGGCCTTCTCTTCTACAGACAATATCTGTACTGTTGAACTAGATCATACTTCAATCACTTGTAAAACCAACATTCTTCACTATATTGACTACAAACCAGTGGCTGACCTGGGTTGACCTGTGACCTGACCTGACCTGACCCATTCTGACCTGACCCAGAGGATCACTAATAGTAAAAGCCTATGAACAACATACAGCCTTGGTACTCTTCCAAAGAACAAATTGAATATACAACTGTCAGTAAGTAAATATCTATCTGGTTATCATTTACAGTCGTTTTCATACAGTTGTTTCAAAATTGAAGTCACATGCTGTTACACATGTGTCTTGGGTCACACCTTGTCAAAAAAGTAAGAAAAATGTGTTTTTCTAGTGTGTACTGACAATTACAGTCAGGTAGAAGTAGACAAAAAATTGAAAGATTGTACCTTTATTCTATATATGAAGTTTGCTTAAGATTTGGTTGAGGTAATAGATGGGAATAACTCAAACATAGTATATTTTCTCCCTTCTCTCTTAGTACCTACAGAACAACAATTATTCTAAACACTGTAAGAAAGCTCAAATAAAGTCCTATACACACTCTAAAAATAAGAAAGTGTCTTCTACTAGCATTGGAACATGTTTCAAACTTGTAAATATATCATTCTTTATCAAAAATAGAGAATATGTCTTACTCAGAACTTTTGATATCATTTGTACAGCTTCCATCATCCAGAACTCATGTCTATGTGACTCATTACACGGTAACTTAAGCAGACTGGTAGGGAAGATTTTTATAATAAATAAGTTTTATTTGAGTCACAAAAACAGCTAACAGATATAATACGACAGCATATTCAAAGCACGACTAATTCGATTGTAGTCCAGAGTCCAGTTTCTAAACACACAGTCATCCATTACATTGCGAGTTGTGGTGCATGTTGCGGGAAGGAGCAGGGCTACCCCGAGAAAGTCAGGCAAGTGATGCGAGACGAATCGTGGGGTCAACTCACGTTCAAGACATCATCGGCTTCTTTCCGTCCTTCACGCTCCTTTTCTTCGACTGATACTTGTCCTCCGGTAGTTCTCCCTCCTCCAACTCATCGGTCATTGCAGCGTCGCCCTCATCGCCTTCGCCCACTTTGCTATACTCGCCCTCGCCCTCCTCAGCGATATCTCCGAGAGGATCGTACGTCTCGTAATCCATTTCCATGCACCTAAAAACCTTCCCAAGTTTTACGGCAATGTCCGGGGCATTCTTAATGGGAAGTTTGGAGGTGTTATTCAGGGCACGAATCCACCTGGCACGCGTCACTTTGTCAAGCTGCAAAGGAATTTGGTTTGACAGCGTATCACGAAGAGGATGTGCAGCCCGTGTGCTGTAGTCTCTCAGTTCATTGGACTCGAGGAAGATGTCCCGCAAAACGCCTTCGTCTCGGAGAATTTCTAGGGCGTAAGCCGTTTCCGCGGCCTTGCGTAACTTGATCTCGGCTTCAATGTCTTTGCGGTCGGCCGGAGTTTTCGCATGATTCAATCGCCATTGGTCCTTAGCGGACCAGGTCGAGTAATAGTCATAGTGCACGGCAGAGTGCGAAGTGGATGATTTAGGGGTACGAAACACCCCGCCCGTGAATGCTTCCCGAGACGAGCGTGAAGATTGGCCGGTCTTCTTAATCGGGATAGGTGCATTTGCATGTACGGTCATCGGTGCATTGCCTGTTGATGTGGAGTCTGTTGGCGCGGTGGCTTCTGGAGTTGATGCGGTGCCCGCTGGAGGAACCACAATTGAATGCTGTGGAAGCAACGTAGGAACTTGTGGAAGCATGCCTGCACGGTGTGGAAGCGACTCGGGAACTGGCGGATTCGTGTCCTGAGGCTGTGGACGAGACGGCTGGGCTGGCAGAGTCGACGTCGCTTTCCCTGTCTGTGCACTAGAGAGCGTCACCGCGGGCGACAGGGGACGTGACGGCGGAATAAGAGTCGGACGGGTAGAAAGACTTGCCTGCGAGGGAGATGACTTCGGGCCCGTACCCTTTCTACCGTCATTATCCTTACCGCGACCGAGAATCGGTAAGTTTTTCACCTTTTCCGCGATTCCTGACCCACTAGACAGGGGTGCGTCCATTTTCTTCGACGTTTCCGGGTCAGATTTGCGGCCTTCACTGCTGTCTCGCTTGAAACGTTTCACCACTCGCATTCCGGCGCTTAGGATGGATGACATAGTAGGTGGGGTAATAGAACGATCTCTTCGATGAGACTTCCTCGCTGTCTCCGTCTCCTCCGTGGCCTTTGAAGCCTCCGTCACCTCGCCTGATGCAATGCGTAGTTTCAAAGCGGCATCTCGGTCCTTTTCTGCTTGAACACGGAGACCACTGATGTACCATGGTATCGCGTTGAGCCAGGAGTTGTACAACTGGTCGTCGAGTTTCCTGTACCACCTGGTCTGAATCTCACCGGTTGGAGTGTTGTAGGAGTAGTAAACCCTATCACTCGTAGCGATCTTGTTCCAGAACGTCAGCCAGTTGAAGTACCCATCCTTCTCGGAGACGTAGTACGCGCGTGACAATGGTAGATCGAGGTTAGAATCGAAGCTCAAGGTCGAAGACGCAGCAGGCGTCTTCTTAGAGAGGTCACCTAGAAAATTGAGCATGCCCAGATAAAATCGTTCTCGGGCCGAATCCACTGTCTGTCAGCGTATGATGTCGTCGTACGCGTCGGAATTCTTCGTCGTGTTCGTTAGATAAAATTTAGTGATAATCAATTGACCACGCACCTGTGCAAACACCTCCAACTCCAGCCTACTAATCCGATTCTCAGCCCCAGCCTGAGCTGTATCCACCGCGTCAACCTTTGCGTCAACCTCGACCAACTTCGTATCAACCGCATCGAATTTCGTCGCGTACATGTTGAGCTGACGCTCGAAGTGGTCCTTGACCCTGTTCACCGTATCCGTAAGATCGCGCATCGTTATTTTTCGACCCGTAGCCACAGCGCGCATCGACTCCGCACAATGGGTCTTCTCCGAAATTTCGTGGTCCGGCTTTCCTTCATCGATGGCTTTTTGCAGGTTCGCTTCGGCTTCCTTCACTCGCCTGTAGACCTCTTTGCCTATGGCACCTGAAAGATACGTTAGATCAAATCGATATGCGAGGAGGGAAGTGAGACGTGCTGTCGGATTGGAGAGAATCTGGAGGTGAGGTGCCTGTCGTCTCACCCGTAACTCCCGTTTCAATCGTTAGTCCCGTCTCAGATTCTGTGACGAGAAGGAGTTCGGGAATGAGGAGGGTGATGATATAAGAGACGTAAAACGAGAACTCACCAGCGCTAATTACTTCGCTATCGCGACGACCTGCAGGTAACATCTCGCCACTCGACTTATGAAGAGGTGCGAAATGCGCGGTCTTGCTCCCTGTGGCACGCTTCTGTGCCATGCTGCAGGTAATGGCGTCTCCGCGATGCTTGAGGGTGTGGTGTAAAGGCGAGAAACGCGACGAGCGATTGTGGTTGCGGTTGAAGAAAAGAACCGTGGCCATTTCATTCGGAGCTTCAATGATCCGAATTGAGTCAGCGTACCAGTGCAATAGCGCAATCTGCGTCTCACTCACCATCTTCCGCTGATTCCAAACCGCAAACTTGAAGGTTTCGTGCTGGTATAAAGTCAGAGACCGCAAGAATGTGGAATTGTAGGTATGGCATGGAACCTACACGATTGACAGCTGCCGTAATCCTCCCAAACGCCGCGATTTCAGCCCTTCGCGTTCCTCTTTTTCTCTCGTTGTTGCCAGGATGCCCGCCGCACGCGTCAGCAAGAAATCCGCAAAGCTGAAGGCCGCTGAAGAGAGTGAGGCGGTGAGGAAAGCGGCAAAGAAAACCAATCGAGGTCCCGGACGTCCGCGCAAGAACGCTGCAGGACTTGATACAAATGTGCAAGGCGAACATACAGGGAGGAAGCAGGCGACGACGCAAAAGCGGTCTCAAGGTAAAATAGCTGCAGAAACAGCTCGTCAGCGCCGTCAAGAAGCAATAAATAAACGTCGCACCAAGGTAAGTTGTATGCACGACTTGTAACGCGTACTGATGAATCGTCTGTAGCCTAGTGAAAAGCGTCTGGGATCCGATGACGATTCTAGCGACGGCCAGGACGACCCCGGCAGTGAAATGGACGAACAAGGCGGTGCTGATGTGTCCATAATGGATGTAACCCATGCCGCTGGTTTCAATTTTCCCGAAGATGACGAGGAAAAAGGCGAGGAAACCGATTCCCAAGAAGATGCGCTCGGGTCATTCGATGGGTCCAAGGATACTGCTACTGGCTTCTATGGATTTGGCAAGTTCATCTTTTATACAATGATTGTGGTGGAGCATTTGACAAATTATTCAGATCTGGACGATGGGAGCATCTCTTTTGGGCGAGCCAAGGCATACGGACTTATCACGTCGACCCCTCCACCTCAGAAAAGGCTCGGAAACGTCATTGAAATCATTGTAAAGGTATCTGATGGGGTAGGAACTCGGTCCATGCCGATTCATTCAGACATGACCATGTCTGATCTTTTGAACGCGGTGACCGAAACCACGAGGGCAACGTGTACAATCCACGCACTAGCATATGAGGCTCCCTGATGCAAGAAATCGGGATCTAAGGTCGAGCCCCATTACCTAGACAGTCAGAGCGCATTGGACGATTTGTTCGCGAATGTCAGAAAATTCCGAGACGAGCAAAAGCGAAACAAGAAAAAGAACAAGGCCGAGTGCTTGATCACGATCCGGAACCTCAGAAACCCGGTAATGTCCATTCCACTGTTGAATTTACACCCCGCTTATGCGGAACATACAGACGGCAAGCGCAAACCAGAAGAAGACCCAGCAGAAGACCGAGCCAACACCATTGGCCAACGCGAAAGACCAGTATGCTACCGAAATCCAGAAGATTGCCACACAGATCATTGCAAATTTCAAGTCTGACAGGCATGATGGTGGGGTGTGTGTAAGATTCAAAGGAATGCGAGACCACGTACCATATACACACACAGACGTTTCCGAACACGCAAAGTTATATGTAGGTTCTATATTCGACTGTCTGTTTGGTGATTTGACTTAACCCTTTCTAGTACAAAAAGGCTCCTAGTGTGACACTTACCGAGCCTCCGGAGGCTCTGAAACTCCTCAATAAAAGGTCAACTAGGGGTAGGGGATTGTTGAAAGCTGTTGACTCGGGTACAAAGAGTACCAGTCCCTCACATGTAGCCAACATTGAGGAGCAAAAACAAACACAGGTACATAAGGAGACGTCTCCATGAAGGAAAGCATGTAACTTTCTACTAGTGAAGTAATGACTACAAGACCTAACAGACGACTTGGAGAGAGGCTGAGACGGGTTCGACTACAATTGCCTTCTGCCAGTCTTCCACTCCTATAGTGTAAAGCAACTCAATGACATAAATGCTTTAGGGAAGGATCTTCTCTAGGTATAGTAACAGAAGCAGGACTTGATGTTACCATTAGATTTATACTGTGTATTGTTTGTTATACACAGGAGGACATGAAGGATGTAGTGTCTCAGGCATAGGTATTGCAACTGGGTGTCTACTCATATGTACATAATATTGTGCCTATAATACTATGTTAATGAATATAACTACAGTGTTAATAGAAAGTATAGTAGTCTGCTACACTTATAGACATCACTTCTCCATACAACTGCTTGTAAAGCTCTGTAAGCCTCTTGTTACCTGTATACTTAAACCTAGTATAGTATAATCAAGCTTTCAACACTGAAAATGCTAGCTCAATCAGATTAAAATTGGGTAAATATGTAGGAAGGAATTTGAGTTTTATCCCTCTGTTACAAACATTAGAACAGAAATAATAGAAATAATGGAGCTTACTAAGACTTAATAAGATTGTGGACTTTATCAGATTTATGAATAGAGTAGTTGTCTATAATAATAACAGTACTAGGATAAAGTTTGGCTACAACAGATTCAATAAAGGTATAAAATAATACTACATTGTATAATCCTTTTATAATCATACAGTCAAGCATACTATGAATAGTAATAGTTAGAAGGATAGAGCATTTAGGAAAAGATTAGTTCAAGTAAGAGAAAATTCCAGAATTACTTACTGTTTACCCTTGACAAAAATCTCCTTACAAATGGCCTGTTAGTTAGTTAATGTCTATACTATATTTTGCAACTCTGTACACTAGGTATATGTACTCTCATTAATAAAACAGGTATTCTCTGAGTCCTCCTCAGCTATCTTCATATAATACTGGACTCTTGCTTGCTTATTGTGTTATAATACTCTGTAAGAGATCTAAGTACAAAATCATTAATTTGTTTTTTCTTTCTAATTTTTAGTACTGTATTAGAGGACTCACCTTCTTTAGTGTAAAACCAGAATAATGTAATGCTCTCCAGACAGTAGAATCTGCAACTTTCTTACCACAAACACAGCTTAAAGTTTCTTACAGTTTATCTAAATATTAGTCATTCTAATAGTCTATTATACTAAGAAGGTACTATAGATTAGCTATTAGTTAGAGACAACAGAAAATTATAAAATATAAGCTTACCTGAGTATCTGTATAGTCTAAGACTTGTAGCCACTTATAATTAACTAGTACATCAAGTTCTACATTCTCTGTGTGTTACTAATGCCTTATAATCTGATAAACTGTCTATTCCTTAACTCTAGTCAGAAATAATATTTGGGCCACAGACAAAGTACCTCTCTAGTGTATCTGAAGAACTATTAAGTAAGCATCTTTAGAAAGGGTAGTCCTTTATAGTATAGCAAAAGTTTGTGGCCAGCAATGTAAACTATAGTTACAATCACCTGTACTAATTATGTGTTCATACAAAGTAATGTATTTTTGAATACAACTCCTTCATTTCATTATAAGTATAGTATGAATAAAGTTATATATTAGTTAGAATACAGTATATGTACAAATTAAAAAAGAAAAGAGAAGGTATCCTACTAATATCCTACTACTAATTGAGTAAAGAATAGTATAATTATATTAATTCAAAAGAAAATGTGTTTGTTTTAATATAATTCTTACTCAGAATTACTATTTCTATAGAAATAAGTATTCATGTGTATTATTCTTTATTAAAAAAAGTACTTAGAAAGACTTACATAGAATACAGTTTTTAATTAGAAAATAGTTTTATACATTAACACAATGACAAGTACTGTTTTCAGACTTATAGATTAATATGCACAAATAAAATTGCTTAATTTCTTACATATAATAGAGCTCTTATTTGAAAGATAATTTTTGAATGTTTAATAACTATATAACACTTTGTATTTATAGAGAAAATAGGTTTTTTGTTTAGTTTTTCTTACTTTTAGTAAAGTGTGACCAAAACACGTGAAATCTGTGTGTGACATCATTTTTGAAAACAACTGTAAATATAGTTGCACGTGAAAATCACATGATTTTGTCACATCAAGTACCAAAACACAAAAACACTTATATCTCAGCCAAAACTCAACGAAAATGTGTGGAATAAGTTGCTAAATTCATTATTTTAGAATATCTTTCATATACTAACAAGAATGAAGAAAATTGAGTAAAAATTGAGTGAAATATAGTACAAGATGTGGATTTTCTTTGTATCTCTCATTTTAATTTTTTCCTTACCTCAAAACCAGACATATAAGCCTGGAGAACTGTGTATTACAGTTGGATATACTAATACTTAATTTATATACTGATTTTTCTGTAAATTAACTATTCATTCTACTTTATTGAGAGAGGGTTAAAATGTGTAAAACTAACTATTTTTCCCCAGTCCTCCCTATACTCAATAAATCCTATTAATGCTCAAAATATATTCTTAAATTAAATATAGTGTATTATAGTATTTTACAACAAGTTTTATGTTAATATGTTGAGAATTGAGCTCAGAACAAATAGAAAAAGAAATATACTCATAATAAAATCTTTCACTCTATTCTAAGCTCAATTCTCAACATATTAATATGAAACTTGTTGTAAAATACTCTAATACACTTATATTTAATTTAAGAATATATTTTGAGCATTAATAGGATTTATTGAGTATAGGGAGGACTAGGGGAAAATAGTTAGTTTTACACATTTTAACCCTCTCTCTTAATAAAGTAGAATGAATGGTTAATTCACATAAAAATTAGTATATAAATTAAGTATTAGTATATCCAACTATAATAAACAGTTCTCCAGGCTTATATGTCTGGTTTTGAGGTAAGGAAAAAATTAAAATGAGAGATACAAAGAAAATCCACATCTTGTACTATATTTCACTCAATTTTTACTCAATTTTCTTCATTCTTGTTAGTATATGAAATATATTCTAAAATAATGAATTTAGCAACTTATTCCACACATTTTTGTTGAGTTTTGACTGAGATATGAGGTTTTTTGTGTTTTAGTACTTAATGTGACAAAATCATATGATTTTCACATACAACTATATTTATAAAAACAACTGTAATATACTAGTATTATATGAATACTATATATTTTTTCCTAATACTAAATTCTCTTTTTTAAATCATTAGAAAAATATTAAGTTAAAAGAACAAAGTCTCTACTATTTTGAGTAATTAATATTAACTAAGAAAGAGACTCTGTATTTACTAGTAGTTTACTTTTTTTTAAGTCCTTAAAAACTCTATAAATCAGTACTTTGCAAAGCATGCCTAAACTTTAATAATATTATATGATATTTTTGTAAGGTAGGCTAAAATACTAATATTAACTTTCTATTATAGAGTTTCCCTCTTTTTTTAAGTTAAATATAATAAATTCTGTCTTTTTTAAGTATTTTTAAGTAAGCTTTAAACAACTACTACTTACTACCCTTTTTATAAGTATTGTCACACCTGTGTTTCACATACTCTAACACATTTCAGCCAAAACAGTAAAAACTCAAGTAAATAGTAAATTTCTCTGTCAATTCTGTATGTTTCATACTATAAGCTTACTATACAGTTTACTACAGTTCTAAAGGTTCTGGGAGTTCTGTTCTGGAACTCTCTCACACAGTCTTAGGCCACACATACAGTCCCCAGCCCTGAGCCACTCATTCTTAGTTCTGATCCTAAGCTATACATATAGTTTCCTTTTTCACTTTGTATTACACATTCCTTTAGCCTAAGCCACTTTTCCTTTCTTCTCTAGTATATAAAGCTTATGTCTACACCTTTGTTGCACCAGTTCTTGTTTACTAACTATAACAAAGGTGTGTCTTATTATGTACTCTCAGTTCTTGTTTACTGACTATAACAAAGATACCTTTGTCCTGTTAGTCTGTGTATGTTTTACAATCTTTGAGCTCAGTATTCAGTACTCTACTAGTACTGTTCCACATACTCAATTAGTACTTAAAAAAAAGTGCTAGATTGCAAATATAGATTTATGTAGAAATATTTGCAATTTGTTGCCTGTGTGTGTCAGAACAGAACAAACAACTTTATAAGGCCTTACTCTAAAGAGTTGTCCAGACTAATTACAAAATTATTCCTCCTTACACAAGTCATAATAAATTTTTATTCTAGTCTATAAATCAAGTATATATATATAGAACTACTCTAGCAAAGTTTTGTGTTATTTTGTACAGTATTTGTGTAGAAAACATTAGACAATCTTATTAATCCTTGTTTTAGTAAGTTATTTAGACTGTTTATAAAATTATTCCTCTTCATACAAGCTATTATATTTTTCCTTCTTAGTCTGTAAATTAGGTCTACATGTCTTACAATACTCTAGCAAGTTTTCAATCTGTTCTGTGTAGCATTTGTGTAACAATACAAGTGTCTTTTATCTTTATAGTATTCTCAGAACCCTTTTCTAGTACTATAACTACTCTAGGACTGTCATTCAAAAGAAACAAATTCTAAACATACTTGTATCTGAAGAAAACATTATAGTATTCATTCTATATACTTAACATAGTGTTTTTATTTATATAATCTATAAGAGGCTGTAGCTCACACCTATTTGTATCAATTCTCATACCTCTGTATTGTATTCTAGTTCATTATAATACTTCTCTACTACAGCCAAATAGTATCTCTAGTATACTTGAGTAGAATGAGTAGTAGTAAACACTATAGTACTATAGGTGACAGTATAGGATTAATACAGTCTAGAGGTATAGTCAGACAACAAATCTAGCAGACTTACTGTCTATTCTACTTATAATTACAAATGTACAACTGTGTCTTAACATACTCCTCTCTCCTCCCCTATTACTACTATAGTAAGTCATCCTATCTACCTAACCTAATCTTAGCTATACTACTATAAACTAAGAGGTGAGAAGTAGTAAGTCAGGCAAGTAGTAAGTACTTTAGTATTTGTAACTATATTATATCTACTCACTATTTAATAGTCAAGTAAGTAATAGTAACAATAGTACTACTATCCCTTGTGTGAATATTATAACTATTATAATTGAACTTTCTCTAAAAGTGCCTCTGAGTCTAATTACTACACATTCTATCAGCTATAAGGTCTCCTAGAAGAATCAGATGTATTAAGAACAGTACTAGCTTATTAGACTCTGTATGTCTTTATATAATGTTATAGACAGAAGTCTGTATTAGTATTTATAGTAGAGAGAT